CGTGTGGCTAGAGAGTCAGAGCAGCAGGCTTCTGTATTAGATAGATAGATAGATAGATAGATAGATAGATAGATAGATGGATGGATGGATGGATGGATGGATGGATGGATGGATGGATGGATGGATGGATNAGATAGATAGATAGATAGATAGATAGATAGATAGATAGATAGATAGATAGATAGATAGATAGATAGATAGATAGATAGATAGATAGATTTGAACGGCTCTTGGGGCTCAAATTCCAGCTTGTATAATACATCTGAATAGCTTTAAAATAAATATGGGGACATTGCTGTTTGCAGCTGTCATGGGTTTGATTTTCCAGAGAATTCTCTTTTTCAAATATTTTGTAGAAGCCAAAGGAATCAGTGTTTAACCTTGGAGCTACACACATTCATACTAACACCCACGCTTTCTCCTTCCTCTGTGCTATTGGAAGTAGTTTTTATTCTCCCTTTATTTCTTTAAAATATGAAATTAAAATTAATATGAATATGAATAACATTCTCCAGAGCTGTAAGCTTTAAAGTTCAAGTTCACAGTTTGTGCTTTCAGTCTTTCACTGGCATGAAAGAAACATCAGGAGTTTCTGAAGAACCGCTTTAAGGAAGCCTGCAGTCCATTAACAAGAAGAAATGGTCAGCTGGGGCCTTGCTGCCAGCTGGGTCCCTAATAGTGAAAAGATGATGGAAGGAAGTAGCTGTTTACACATAGAAAATTAGCCGGAGTCCATATTCTTGAATGGGGTTTAACTGTTGAAACTGAATGAAAAGAAGCTGATATAAGGAGTGCCTTTTCTGGGTTCACTGCATGGTCATTTGCAAGCTGCAATTAATTCCACCAGCACCTGATTAACAAGTATTTATTATGTTAAGAAAATCATCTTTGTTATACATTTGTTATATATTTACTTAGATTATCTTTGGTATTTAAGAGGGATACTGTTTTACATTTATGGAAATTTTACACTGTTAACTTTACGAGGCAGCCTTCTGATTAGGTTCAATTTTACCAGATCTAAATGTTGTTAGGGGTTATCAGTCAGCTTCAATGTGCACAACTTCAGAATAAAAATCATTGCAGGCTGTGCTGCATTTGTAAAACAGCAGCATGAATAGTAATCTGTACAGTGGCGGCTCTGCCAAGGCGGAGCGGGGTAATTGGTTCCTGAACTTAAGCTTATAGGCTTCTTCATAGTACTTGGGCATGTTGTGAAGGCTTTGGACAAGGTCTCCTGAGAATCCCAATTAAAAAGCAAAATGCAGAATAGGGGCTTTGTGAGACTAACAAATGAGACAAGCTCTGGTGCTTTGGTCCGAAGTCTGTGTCATGTCCAGAGAGGCAGAGAGAGGGAGCTGCATCGATTGTAGGTGTTTGGGCAGTTTTTGAGGTTTTGATTATCTAAAGAGGATAGATTTGAATGGGGTGTTTTGCTTCTTTTATGGTGTCGAAGTTACAAACACTAAAATATCACCTGAAAGGGCATGCAGGTGGGGCAGTGGTTAGTGTGCATGACCCATGTATGGAGGCCTTAGTCCTCGAAGTGGCTGACCCGGGTTCAAATCTTACCTGTTTTCCTTTGTCGCATGTCTTTCCCCTTCTCTCATACCCCCTTTCCTGTCAGCCTACTGTCAGAAAAACTGTCTCTCCTGGGTGGGGCCACCTGTGGAGATGGTTAACAGTTACCTCTTGTATCTTGGCTTTTTTTTTTTTATATCTGTTTTTATCTCCTTGAACCTCAGTCGACATTGGCAGAAGGCCGCTCACACTGAGCCTGGTTCTGCAGGAGGTGTCTTCCTGTTAAAAGGGAGTTTTCCTCTCCACTGTCGCTACATGCATGTTCAGTCTAAGGGACTGCTAAAGAGTCAATGTTAAAATGCAAGCAAAGATTGTCTCTGCAAGCTCATCCAGGAGGGGCATCTTCAATTTAGATATGCGCTGTGAATTGGCGCTATATGAATGAATTGAACTGAATTTAATTTAATTCTGAATTTAATTTAAACTATTTGTAACAGAAATAGATGAATGTGATCGAAAACTGATTATCCAAACTTGTTTTGGAAATAAATCACTTAATTAGGTTTATTAAAGTGTTTTATGCATTATGACAGCAAAGACCATAACCGCATTCATGCCATCATCTTTTATCTATAGAGTATGATAGGTTTTTTTTTTTTTTTTTTTTACCTAACCTAACAGGAGAAGTGAGAAGACTGAGAACTAACCTCTTTTCAAATTATTCTAAAATTAACTCCTCTTAACATAAATCTAGGAGCTGCAGAAACCAGTTCCCGGAAGATTACCTTCAATTCAATATATAACATGAATGCATAAACACCTGGACTTTATTTCAGTGTTAAATTCTGTTTAAAGTAAAGGATTATAATTAAAAATGTCTTTACAGGTTGTTGATTTTCTTTATTCAGACTCAACTGATTTTTAATTGGTTACCCCTGCTGTAGAGGGAATCCTGGAAAGCGTGGTAGTCAAAAATGAGATGCAGAATAACAGGAATGTGACTGCTGCATGCATTTACAGAGATTTAATTACAGGCTTAAATGTGGATGCTTTCAGGGACAAATTTGAAAGTTTACTTTAATAAAAAAAAAAAAAACAGAAGATTTTCTTAATAAGTGGAGACTGATTTTCTGAATCCATTTAATTGTCGTATTATCTTAGATGTTCATGGTCCCTTTCATCTGGATTTTTTTTTACTTCACAGCAGAATTACCCCTTCTTGTTCCAAGCCTACTGACTATATCATGCATACAATATTTATCATATTGGCTTGTTGAAAATTGGCATCAGCAATCATCCCCTTGCTTTTATTTTACTTTATTTACAGACTATGAAACATCACTGTTATTGTTCTCTCCTTTTGGCCTTTGAGTTTTGAGTTATCTTTGTTATTCTTGCTTTTTTGTTCTTTGGTTTATTTTCCATTTTGTGGTATATTCAAGCAGTCTTGAGGTACTCTTGGTTGCCCCCATGTGCCAGTCTCCTTTCCCTTTCCTTTTCTTTGTTCTGTCTCCCAGATATACTCTCTCTCTGCAGTTCTTTAGTGCTGGTTTCTTGTTGTTACTTGGCTCCCCATGTGTGTTTTCCCCTGATGTCTCCTGGTTTTTGGTGTCCTGCAGTTTGTTCTTGGATTTTGATTCTGTTGCCTTTTTGATTAAATGAAACCTGTAAAATCAAATTAGATCTAATGACAATGAAAACCTAAACCAGTTTATATACTTCAGATAAAAAAAAAAAAATAGAATTTAGAAGTGAGCTTAAAATAAGACTCTGGGGTTTATGTGGGTGATGTGAATGCATTTTCTAAATAAAAAAAAGGGCTGTAGCACTCACGAGGAAAGTTACTAAAAAAAACTTTATTTGTATATTGCTGATGTGATAAAAAATATGTTAACGCATCTGCCTTTGTCCAGCCAATGGTAAAATGTTTGTCAGTCTGTTGTAGTGTTGTAGATAGACAACGACAGCTGCTTAGTTTGTGTAGGTAAGTGGTCACATGATGAGTATGACCTGTCAATGGGAAGAGAAACATTAGACAGATAAAAACACTACATACAATAAAAAACACCATACACCGTATTATTTCAATACGGTGGAAAGAAAAAAAAAGAACATTTTTACCAAAATCTCTCTATATAGTATAAAAGTGAGAGTAAAAACTGCCCTAGATCCAACAAATACTGATCTACAGGTCACCAGAGAGAAGGATGACAGGAGACCTCTCCATTTAAACTTAGGAACTCTGTTTCAGCACTTTGATTGTGGGAGGAAATATTTGTTTAGTCTTGCCTCAATTAGCAGGTGTCAGATACTAAAGTAACAGAATAACTGTTGATAAATGACAATTACTTTTCTCATTTGCATGTATATACCACAGTATCACTAAGCCTTTATTTCTGCTGCAATAAAAAGACGTCAGTTATAAGCAAAAAAAAAGGCTACAGAGAGCATACCAAACATGTTTATACCTAAACTAGAGAACTCAAATTTAAGGATCTTGTTTATTTAAAAAATGCACTCATTGTGTTCACTCAGAGGATTTTCCAAATGTATTTAGTCTCGTTAAACCAGAACCTGATCACAAAAGAAGAAAAAATGTCTTTACTATGTTCTAACAGTGAAACTAAAGTGTACATCTGTATTTGGAGTTTAACTGTGGAATGCTTTGTATGATGAACATAAGTGGCGTACAAATGTTTATAAGTTTAACAAGTTGTACAAGCACAACATTTCATATGAACAGATTAGAATTACAACTATTTGAAAACAAATTATTTTCATTTTTAAATTATGAAACAATTATTTTAATATTATAGACATGTAAAAGACATTTGGTGCATGCGTGTGGAGAGGGGGTTAGAAATGAAATATTTTTTACTATCTTTTTTATCAAGGAGTATATAAGTATGATTTATCTTCTTTTTGCTCCTGCTTTTCCTATAAAAAATCTATAAGTAAATATGTCATTTGTAAAATGAATGCATGCATGAACAAATAAACATCTACAGTATTCCATTCTCTGTCATGGCTTTTATAAAACACCAGTATGTTCCATCACAATGTTGTGGAACTGTCCATGGTCCTTTTGACAGCACCATGGACAGTTCACATCTCAGCATCCACATTCAAAGAATAAACAAATTTGGCATCATATAAGAAAAAATAAGCTGAAACACTGTGAGAAAGAATAAAGACGAACCTCTGCAATGTGTCTGGTTTGCAACAGTAGCTTTTATTTTTATTTTTCTGCAACTTCCAATTAACAAGATGGGAGATATCAGTCTTGGACTGTACTAACCCTAACCCATTGGCTGGGAATGGGGGCACTGAAATGTGACTCCTGAAACTAAACACCAGCTTGGATCTGATGTCAGTGTCTGGTTGGAGCCGGATACATTTTCATTTACCGTTATGTTCAGTTGAATATGTGCACCAAGCTGTGAACATGTGATACTATCAGATCCACACTTGATGACTGGAAGACGGACGTCCGGGGCAGTGATTGCCCACCACCACAAAGAAGAATTATGGTTTGAAACAATCACACAACTTGATCCCTGATTTCCAGACATTAAAATTTTTTTTCCTTTTTTTGCAGCACATTTTGCTTCTTTCCTTCAAAGTAAGATGGAGGGAGATATTTAATATTACAGAAGACACCTGTACTAACAAACTGTGTGGGTTGACAGGTTGTCAGCGATTTTTTTGTCCTGTTTTTTTAATAAAATCATAATTCTGGGCAGAAGAGAAACTTAAACCCATCACTGATCACAAGCGAAGAACAGGAAGTTGGGTTTTGTCTAACAACAATTACAATTATCTTGGAGAAGACAACAGGAGGACAAAGAAATACTTCTAGGAGGTGAGTTAACATGAGTGCATGACTCTTTATATCTTAGTTAAAAAATAGGTTTCACGACTATCTTATACACTACTATGCAACACATTAAATTTTTATTTTTTTCCTCCAAAGCTCCCAAAGTCCTGTCATTCTATCCCGTCTCTTTGAGACCTTGCCTTCAGTTCGTTATGAGTGAACCCTCCAGCTGCAACACAGAGTCAAAGTGTCTGGCTGATTTCAATGGTGATCCTGCCTGGGGCTACCGAGGAAAGATACCAGAGTAGGTTTAGGTTTGATCAACATGGAGAGAAACTAACAGAGTCAATGATAGCTGTAGCTTACTGATTTTTTGTGCTTGTTTTATCTTTGCAGCCATGTTAGCACTAAACAGTGCTACACCAGCAGTGTCAGAAAGAGAAGCAAGGTTCGCCTAAACGACCAACTGTAGGTTGCCATGTGTTTATTATACACTGATTATCACACATGTATATTTATGTATATGTATATTTATATATATAATGTAGTGTTCTAATATTGAGTCACACTTTTTCCAGTACACCAAAACCGACTAATATAAATTTATTGTGAGTATATTTTATGGTTATTTTATGGGCATTTTCTGGGTCTACTTTTACGCTTATTATACATTCTTTAACAGGGAGAAAATGATGAAAACTGCTACTCTGAAAGAGCACCCTTATTCCTCGCACATTTCCCGGTTTGCTGTGTTCCCGTCGTTCCTTTCCCCAGATGATCTAGAGAGGGGAGTCAGAGCTGCTTCCCAGAGTTTTATAAACCCTCTCATTCCAAACAAAGCTCCAGATGTCACTGTAGTCAGTAAAACTATAGGTGAGATATTGTTTTTCAAAGATTCTGGTGAAGATTAAGGTTGTTTTTTATGGATGACCAACTCTGCCATATTTAAAGATAAATACAGAAAGAAATAAATGCTTAATAAATAAATAAGCATACAATTAATTGCCACCATTGTATTTTTTGATGGCAATTAAGTGTATGCTTATTTATTTATTGAGTATTTATTTATTTATGGATTTATTTTTAAATATGGCAGAGTTAGTCCTCCATAGTTTTTTTTTTTTTTACATAAATATATGGATAATTTAATCATGGACCTTTACGGTTTATGTTTTGGTTTTAATTGTTGTCAATTTTCTGTTGATTCCTGGATCCCTCTTTATAGTTCAAGTCTTTCAGCATTAGTTTTATTCTTTGTATGTTTACTGTTTATTTCTTATGTTTCTGCTTTCCATGGATTTTTGTTTAGACTTTCATATCAGTTTTGGGACCCAGTGTGTTTATTAGACAAGTACCTTTAACTCCTGGGCCCAGCACTCTGCGCTGCCCTGCATATCTTCGCTAAGTGTCACCTGCTTTCAGACTCCCCTCAGTCTTTTTCCTCCCTTATTTTTAATTTTTCTTTCCTGGTTTCTTCTTTTGCATCATCTGTAATTCAATTTATCCCTTGGGTGGTCTCCTGCTGTAGAATTTGTTATAGTTGAATATCAAGTTGTTTAAACTAAGTTACTTCTGTGGCCTTGTCTGTATTCCTGTCCTGCTCAAACATCAATATAAAAAAGCAACAAAAAAAAAACAAACTAAAAATAAAAAAATCTAAAAATGTGTGCAGTCAAGGGAAATATTAGGTAATCCTGTAAAAACCTGTTTTTAGATCTAACATAAGTGGGCACTGAAACAAATGTAGACCCTCGTTTATGATTAAAAAAAAACACAAACCACAAACTTGAATCTAGCAAAACTAATTGTAAATAACATTTCTAGAAAATAAACAAATGAAAGTCAGGCATTGCTTTTCAACCATGCTTAAACAAACTTTAATCTTGCAGTGTTCTTTGCAAAACAGTGGAAAAGAATAAACCACCAAATTAAGTTTTCAGTGAGAAGGCAGCAGATGTTCTTTCAATAATCAAGTCTAAAACTGAACTATTCAGGAACTAAAACAGGTGGAACTGTTAGGCCTAAACTTATCTATACCTTTCTCCAATAATGAATAAAATAGGAACTCTGAACTTGAAAGTTTATATGCTTCCATTAAGGACAGAAAAAACTCAGCTGCCAGTAAAATAAATTGAAATTGACAAAAGTAATAAAAACTAAAATGATAAAAATGGAAATCATAAAACCAAATTGATTTTGAATATGTAGACATCATCCATCCATTTTCCATCACGTTTAGGTGTCCACTCTCGCCAGCCTATCGAAGGGCAACACAGAGACAAACAGGACAAACAACCATTCATGCACACACTCACACCTAAGGATAATTTAAAATGTAGAGAAGCCAATTGACCTAACAGTCATGTTTTTGGACTGTGGGAAGAAGCCGTAGTACCTGGAGAGAACCCATGCATAATCAGGGAGAACATGCAAACTCAATGCAGAAAGACCCCAGGCCTCCTGAACAAAAATGTTGTTGAGCAACATTTTGATTCAATCACTGCAATCAGGTGTTTTCTGTAATTTCCAGGAAATGTTCAGTAAGTTTTCTGCACCTGTTGACAGATTTGTTGGAGAGTTTGTTTTTTTAGAATTACTATTTTTTTAATAAAAAATTCGAAGTCAATATTTGTTATAGTACTTTTTCATTTACTACATTTCTAATTTTTATTACTTTTTCAGTTTTGTTATTCAACTTATTAATTGTTTGAATTTATAATTTCCTTTCATGAGAAGGTTTTTAAACTTTCAAGCACAACCATAAATATTTTATAATATATTGTCATTGGACAATGCTAAAGTCATGACACTTTGATATGTTTAAAGGCGTTGCTTTGCAGCTTGTACAACAATGTCAGTGTTCAGACATACCCATTAATGTCTAAATTACTAGGAGCAATATGGAGCACAGCCCTACATGAAAATAACAGGATTATTTTCAGAATATAATAGACATAATATTAAATCAATGTTTTTCTTCGGTCTATTAAATATATTTTTTTTTTCAAACATCTGCTATTTTACATGATTTTGTGAAATTTAGTTTTTAATTATTTGAATGATTTTTCTTTCAAAAAGCTACCTGTTCCTCATCACTGACTGTGCCAGTTAAGTCATGTTATTGCAGTTCTATGTCTATGTCTACAGGAGGTCCATACAGGCATGAGATCTTGGAAAACCCCACTAAAACCAGGAAAGTGGCAGTTTCTTGGACAGGAGAGAATGGTTTTTTAGATGTGAGGATTTAAAACACGCCATGTTTTTTGGCTGAATTCAAATGAATAAATAAAAAATAAAACATATCTTACTCTGCATTACCCTTCACCAGCATCCCAAACCAGTAAAAGCGGAGAGACAGATTTTCTACCCAGCTCCTCCAAAGACAGTACTGCCTAATCTAAAACTTCGGGACTGGGATCTGTCATTATCAGAGCGCACAAGCAACATGCTGAGAAACCTGGAGAGGAAACTTTGGACCACCTCTTACAAGATGGACTTTACTGGTATGAAGCTACAATGATTTATACTGTATTAGAATCCTACGTAGATTAGCACAGATTTCAGGTAATGCATTTTTGCAAAGGTTTGAATAATTACCGGTATGTTTTCTAAATGCTTGTTGAAGTTAATTATAGTTATTGTGCCTGTAATATATGTATTTTTCTCAGGATCAGGGCCTTCAAACCCTTTGAAGATAGATGATTTTAAGGAAAAAATTATCACCCTGACTAGGATCAATTCACACTCTGCACCTCTGGTGAACCACATTTTACTATCTTCACCGTAATGTGTTTAATTTAAACTGATGCAATATGTGATCATTTTTCTTACAGAGAGAAAGGTCCTATCCCCTGTTTGCTCCATCTAAACCCAAAGGAGGATATGGACAAAGACAACAAAGCAAACTGAGAGAACACTTCTATAGCCCCAGTTTCAATGAAACCCAGGTGCCAGCTGAAAATCAAAGCACTACTACATCTTATATAAACCAGCAGCCCCAAGGGCCCTTGGCTAATTATAAAGGAGCAGCAGTTATGACCCAAATGGATCACAGTCTATCAGAGTCCAAAACTGGCTTCACAAATCCACAGCACACTGATTTTTGCATGGAGATCTTACCAAAGCAGCAATCTCGAGGTAAAAGCGCTGCTGATCATGGCAGACAAGAAGATAATCGCAAAGTCCGATTTAATGAAAGCCTAATGCAGGAATGTGAATGTAAGAGCAACCAAGCTGCTGCTGTCCAGCTCTCAAACCCACAACAGCACTTCAACCTGAGCAACCAGCCGTATTCCCACAAAAAGGAGCAGGTAAAGAAAGAGAGATATTTAAGAGAGCAGCAAAATGGTAATCAACCAATCAAAAAGGAGGACTTCGAATTTAGAAATGCATCCTGCTCTGAATTACACGATCAGCTATTAACTAAAGAGGAAATTAAAACAAGGAGCAGAGAGCTGTTAAACTCTAGCCCTTACACCTCCATCCTGCCGCGGCCTCCTGTTCATTGTACAAATACTTTTGAGAGAGTGGGTCGGACAGGCAGCGATCTCAGCATTCTGGATCTCCAAAACTCATTCAGCAAGTCAGAAGCACATTGTAGATTCAACAGCTCGGTTACTCATGGTGCAGTGAACCTGAGGGACAATGTAGTAACAGGGAAAAGACACAGCTTCTATGGGATCAACTGCAACCATATTCATGGTTGAATATAAACAAAGAAGGCTAACAATTAATGATGGTTAATAGTATACAAACCCTGTTATTATAAATATTTACAATGGTTATTCTGAATATGTATAATTACAGACAGAATTTTGTTTCAGTATCTGGAATTCAGAGGTGAACTCAATATTGTTTATCTTCTAAAAATTACGACATAGCTTGAACATTTCAATGCTAAAGTCAATTGTCTTTTAAATTAGGTTTAGATTTTAAATGGGTATTTCTAACACATAGAAATTCTATGTTCCAAGTTTTTCCCTATCGCTCCAACTACAGAAATATATACGTACACGCCTCATTGGGCCCAGGTTCGCACGTCAATATCATCAACATGTACGTGTTTGTGGCAGAAAGTAGTTAACGTCTGTTGTTGTAAACGTCAGTTAGCTGTGCAAGACCATCTTTTTCAAGCTTTATAGCTTGCATACAGTACATACTGTTGTTTTTTTTAATATATAGATGTGCATATATAGATTAAGAAGTATTATAAATAAATAGGTGTGTGATTAAATATAACTATATGTCAAGATTATTAGGCAAGTCGTATTTTTGAGGATTATTCTTATTATTGGGCCACAATTGTGTTCTCAATCAACCCAAACGCCTTCTTAATATCAAAGTTTCATATTTTTGGAAGTTGATATGTTTTTTTTTTTTTTTTTTTTTTAGATTAGGCCACTTTATGAGGGTGTCTGTGTTTGTAGGTAAATATTACTGTGCAGAATTATTAGGCAACTTAATTTAAAACAAATTTATACCCATCTCACTTGTTTATTTTCACCAATGTCACAACTCAAAATTCAGAAATAAACATTTGCGACATTCAAAAACAAACAAACAAAAAACATATCAGTGACCAATATAGCCACCTTTCTTCACCATGATGCACAAAAGCCTTCCATCCATAGATTCTGTCAGTGTCTTGATCTGTTTGCGATCCACATTGCCTGCAGCAGCCACCACAGCCTCCCAGACACTGTTCAGAGAGGTGGACTGTTTTCCCTCCCAGTAGATCTCACATTTCTTGAAGGACCACAGGTTCTCGATGGGGTTCAGATCAGGTGAACAAGGGGGCCATGTCATTATTTTTTTCTCCTTTTACACTTTTTCTGGCCAGCCACGTATTTTGATGCGTGTGATGGAGCATTGTCCTGCATGAATATCATGTTTTTTCTTGAATGATGGCGACTTCTTCTGGTGCCACTGTTTGAAGAAGGTGTCTTCCAGAAACTGGCAGTAGGTCTGGGAGTTGAGCTTGACTCCATCATCAACCCGAAAAGGTCCCACAAGCTCATCTGTGATGATACCAGTCCATACCAGTACCCAACCTCCACCTTGCTGGCGTCTGAGTCGATAAGGAACTTGCTGCCCTTTACTGATCCAGCCTGGTGCCCATCCATCTGGCCCACCCAGACTCACTCTCGTTTCATCAGACCAAAACACCTTGGAGCAAACATTCTTCAGGTATTTCTTGGCCCATTCTTGACGTTTTGTCTTGTGTGTCTTGTTCTAAGGCGGCCTTTTTTCGGCTTTCCTTACCTTGGCCAGGGCCCTGAGTATTGAGCATCTTCTGCTTCTCGGCACTCCAGACATGTTGCAGCTCTGAAATATGGCACACCTGGAGGCTAATGGCTTCCTGGCAGCTTCACCCTTGATCCTTCACAATTCATGGGGAGTTATTTTGCGTCTTCTTTTTTCAACACGCTTCTTGCGCCCCTGTTGGCTATTTGCCATGAACCGCTTGATTGTGCAATGCTCCCTCTTCAAAAGCTTGTCAATTTCCAAACTGCTGCACCCCTCTGAAAGACATCTGACAATTTTTGACTTTTCAGAGTCTGTCAAATCTCTTTTCTGACCCATTTTGCCAAAGGAAAGGAAGTTGCCTAATAATTAAGCACACCTTATATAGGGTGTTGATGTCATTAGGCCACACCCCTTTTCATTACAGAGACGCACACCACCTGATTTACATAATTGGTAGTTGGCTTTCAAGCCTATAGAACTTGGAGTGGGACAACATGTATGAAAAGGATGATGTGGTCGAAATACTCATAGATGTATACATCTTATCTTGTTTTGGAAATATTGCTACTTGCTATTGCTGTTTTTTGTTTTTTTAATAATACATCTTGGAGCCCTTTACAAAATAACTGTAATCAGGGTCGGATTACATGACACGTTAAATGAGACATAACTGGACCATATTTCCTAAAATAGAAGAAAAAACATGTTTTATTATCCTTGCATTTGAGAAAAATACACTACCTTGTCCTCATTTGTAAGATAAAATAGAAACCAAATAGTTTTAGATTTGAGGGCGTAAAAACCTAAGTGTGCAAAAGCTTTGTGCATAACTTAAAAGGCCTGACAGAAAACTGCACTTTATTTTTTTGGGAATCCTTACAAAATGTTTTGCCTTTGTGACAAAGAATGTAAAAGCCTCTGGATCCATTAAATGCGATTTCTTCTTGTGGTTTAAGCACATAGTTGTTATAATTTATTTTTAACATGGGTGAAAAGAAATAAATGAACAAGGCCCCTTTTTCATACAAAATGAAACCAAGCAAACCTCAGAAAGCTGTGCTGTATGCCGTTGTTATGGAATCCAGCTCTTTTGTTCCACATATCACTGGTGCTGTAGCAACCTTCAAACTTGCTGTAATAAAAGTGTGAGAGTGAAAAAAAATGCTCTTTTGCACTTAATCTGTTGCAGCCAAACAGACTTACGTAAAAGGTATCTTTTTTCTATAGCAGTTAGTCCTTGAGAATCAAAGCCAGCTGCCAGGAAAGAAAAAAATCTCTCTTTACTCCCATCAAGACTTCAAAAAATATCAGGCTTCACAGAAAATTGGACATAGCCTGTTTTTGACTGCAGACAAGTGCTGGAAATGGGGTCTCCAAAGAGGAGAGATACCTAAATTGTTTTGATTTGCCTGTTTTAGCACATGAAAAAATAGAATAATTTTGTATGTATTTTTTTCCCCATTGTATGTTTTATATTTTCGTTTTTTATTTTAGAAAAGAAGTGATTGTATGAT